ATAACAGTGTAATTCATGAAGAATATTCATGGCGAGTTTCATATGTTTGTTAAAAAACGATTACAATTTTTGACATAGTTAATAATTTATTTGCATAATGAATACTGTCCAATCTATATATATATATATATCTTGAATGACAGCTTGGAACATTGGAAAAATTTTCCTTGCTAGGATGCAAGCTAATTAAGCTAGTTATCCCTTGACTTTCGCAAACATGAATCAACATTGGTCTATACTGATGTTTTTGAAAAATCCATCTACTTGAGCCTTGGCCAAGCTGTTATCGAAAAGTCTTGAAAAGAAAAATCTTTACCGAGTTGTTCGGCTATTAATGCAAAGAACAAGGGATTATAATATATATTATAAGTGTTAATTCCATTTAGTTCCGATTGGAATGTATTATTTATGGGTCTCAATCCCATTTAGATTTCTTTTTATGTCGGGCTGGCTGTTTTATAAATTTTGAACACATACTGACGTGACGGGTATATCTCAGTTGAACTGTACTCATTCCATTGGAGTTAAAAGTTGGATTTCATGAAAATGATTGGGATAAGAACAAGCCAGACTGGTTTCTTTTCCTAATCACCTATCTATCACCGTCAAGTTTCCAAAACCATTACCTAGGTGATGTCAGGTTTCCAAAACCACTACCTGGGTGATGTGTTGTTTGCCTTTTACTCTCATTTTGCCTCCGAAAAAGACTTAAAAAATGAAGACATGCATCTAGATAGTTCAGACTTAATGCCTTTTGGACTTTAATATTCTATCTCATTCTATCCATTTTGGTTTGAAATTCCAGATTTGAAGCAATCAGAATGAACTCTCACTATTTTTCAAACTTAAAAAAAGTCCCCATCGGTCAATTGGTTGATATCCTTTATAAAGAAGGCCTATAAAAGTCAAGTAACTTTTAACTTTTCATTCTTTATTCCTTTACAGTTGATATGTTTTATAGAAATCAAGACACTTACCCTTAAACAAACTATTCATTTCCGTATCATGTTTTGCTTTGTCAAATTCCATTTTTCATAACTTTTAGTACGGTTGATTTCATTGGGAAAGCGCTCACAGAATAAAGTAAATTAAACAAGGTTATTTTTGTTTTCAGATCTCCAAAACTATATTGAATCATAGTAGGTAATGACGAAGGAGTCGTAGGCTAGTGCATAGCATGGTTACTTAAATTTTTTTTTTTGCACATTATATTATTGCATGTTGATGAGCTTGACCAATCAAATAAAAATAAGAAATGTGGCTTAAGTAAGTGGAATAAGGGTTTGATTGAATGAAATAATGGATGATCCTTTGCACTAGATATTTGCAAAACAAGTCTCTTTGATTGGGTGAGGGAACCTCCGATGATCAAGTTAGTAATCAAAAAGTGACAAATTGGCTTGAAATTTTTTTTTTTTGGAAAAAAATGTTTAAATGTATGCGAATAATTTACAGATGAAAGGGAATTATACGTGAATTAGAACATGTTTAGAAATTATTTCGAAATGAGAAATTGAAACTTCCTTTCTTTGGTGGTTTGGATCTTTATATAGACGAGTTATGTGTCTAATTGCATGTATGGTAGGAAGGACATAAGTGTCCATTCCTTTTGACATTGGTAGTTAAGTCGACAAGTGATGATGTGCTGCTATCACCGTATCTAATATGCGATAGTGTTACTCGCTATCATGATGAGTAGCGATTTGATTGATATCATCATTAAAGAATCTCCATTAAATATTTTATCTTTCCCGGTGATAGTGTTTTCTTTCTTTTCCGGATTGGGGTGCCTTAGAATATGAGAGTTTCCAAACTCTTCTTGGAGGGTTGTTTCTTTCTTTCCTAGGCTAGGACACCTTAGGATAGAATGGTTCCTAAACTCTTCTTGGAGGGTGGCTCGACTCGTAGGTTTTAGCTATCTATTTGAGATTTTAGACCTATTTGATTGATTTATGCTTTTTGATAAGACACATTAGTGATTTGGTGGTGATAGATGTGACGCACGCACTATTGATGGGACTAGAAAGGTGATTGAAATATGCCCTCATTAAATACATGTCTTCTAGGTCTCCTCGAAGGCTACCCTTGTTTACCTTTTTACCTCCGGCCCTATTTGTTATAACTATGATGACTCTCACAAGGGAGGTGTACATTTGTTAATGTGTCCCTTGCTTGTACCAATTGTTGTTACTCGATATTTAGAAGACTTCTTAAAAATAAAAATTGTTTGCATTTATTGTTTGTTTTTAAGGAGATGAGTTAACAAAAATTTTGAAGTCCTTACCTAATATTAAAAGAAACTAAAAAGCCTAAAAATGATACTTGGATTCGGAGATTGCGATAAGAAGTTGGTTATGTATTTAGGAAGATATCGATCGGCCAAAGACATCCTTTTTGAGGAAATGTACCATGTCTAATTTAATCTTAAAAATATATCTTCTAAGAATTTATTTTGCTAAATTATTTTCTAAGTTTATTTCTAAGTTTGTCTATTGTCTAAATTATTTTTTTTATTATGACATCGTATTAAATTAGCATCGAGTTCCAAAGTCGAGAGTCTAGTCAATTTAACATCGGATCCAATTAAGTCCCGGCATGACCGGAATGTCTGGGGACGACTTAATTAGTAATGATATCCGATTTGTATTTACCTTAATTGATTTTTTTTTACCGGGGTGTCAAGAATAAGTCTACCCCTATTAAATAATAAATAATCTTTCGTGTCGCGTCCTCCATCTTCATAGAAGTGACAATACTTTCTTATATCTATGTGTTGGGAGGCACTTTTTATGAGGAGAGAGTGCGGGATATAATTTTCACCTTGCACAAATAGGTAAACCTTAAAGTAGGTAACCTTTAATAGGGTAGATGGTGTCAAACAAGAGGCGAGGTTATGATCTTCCAACCCCTTTGGGTTCTTCCTTCAAGTTTGAAAGGAACTAGACATAGTTCTTTTAACTCGTATTCCCCGATGTGGCCTTCAATGGCCTTTCTCACTTGAGATAGATCTTTTTAGGGAGCTTGTAAAGCTCTTTCTATGGCTCCATATTTCGGATCTTGATTGTAAGATTTTTAGTGGGGAAAAGTTTAATAAGCTCATCAACCTTTAACATTTCTCTATGAAACTAGGAAAGGTACATCCGAGTGCTTTCATTTTTCTTTTGAATAATGAAAAAAAGGTCTTATACTTTTAAATTAGAGACGAAGCTAAGGGAGAGACACGCTGCTAGTTACGATGACAAATCCTTCAAGCTACCTATGGAGTTAGGATCCAAATAATTATACCATTTTCCGGTTGTTCCTCTAAAGGTTGTTGTTAGGATTTTACATATGGTTTTTGTATCATAAGTTACGCGCTTGAGTGTTTTTTTGACGTTCGTATGTAATCCCATGGGTTTGTCTAGCCATCATACATCTCTAGAATTGGTTGCACGAAGAGAAATCTTTTTGGAAGTTTTGTAGACAAGGTGTGGGCAAAGAGTGATGACTTGGTCATAGTCTATGTTCTTCTATCTAGAATAAAAGACTGTTGACTAAAGTCTTTCCAAGGCCCTTTCAAATAAGTCCCCAAACTTTTGCTCCTTTCTTTTCTCTTAAGGTAGCAAGTCATAAGGTTGTTCTTTGTAGGGGGAAGAAAAAATTGATTGGTGTTAGAGTCTTCGTGATGTCTTTCCTCATTAGACTTTTCATCCTCTCTTGCTCCCATTAAAAAAGAATGTGGCTTGTGCATCTCAAACCGAGATGGTTGAGGATGGTTCATCACTCGGTGGCATCAATGTGTTCATTTGCACTTGGATTGTCAAAAGTACATTAGATATCTTTTGGATGATCTTGTGCAATTGAACAACGTTTGCAAACCGAGTGTTAGGACTAGCAAAATTTGAAGAGTAGTGCGACTAGGGATTTCTATTTTTTTTTTTTTTTTTGCTATTTAGGAGCTTAGAGACAATCTAGGAAAAAAAAGATATAAGGAAACTGACTTTTTGATCAATTCATCATAGATGTTGCCAATTGATAAGTCATGGATTGACCTTTCTAGTAAAATTAAGAAACATGGTTCACGTAGGTAAAGTGGGGGTTTGATGGTTGAGTGAAATGTTAGATGATTCTTTGTGCGGGATACTTACAAAACAAGTCTTTGATTCAATGATAGACTATCTGATGATCAAGTTAGGAATCGAAAGATGATGAATTGATTTGAAAAAACTCTTTTGGAAAATGTATTGAAGTGTATGTGAATATTTTGCAGATGAAATTTATATAAAAATTATTTCAGAACGAGAAAGTACAGCCACTTCTTTCTCTCTTCTTCTTTTTTATTATTTTATGGTCTGGGGTGGTGGTTGAATGTCCATTCTCTTTGGCATTAATGGCTGAGCCAACAAATTGGTATCTACAACTTTGTACTCTTTAGCGAGTCCAAAAGTTTACAGCATAAAGCTTAATTAGCTTTGCAACAACCCCGCAAATTTGCAAGCCCTTGTGGATTATACGAAACTTAATGACCTATTTGGAGTACTGTTGTATGCATTTGAAAAATTGGTTTTTTTTTTTTTTTTTTTACATGAATCTGTTTCAGACTTTCATTGTGTGGATTTGTATTTGGTTCGCCCAATATGCCTTCCTAGTTAGGATCACTTTTAAAAGGACTCACGAGAATCAAATACAAACGCGTGGATTGGAACTTTAAGCTAACAGTAATGGCCTAATGGGGATAGGTTCAATCTTTTTACTTCAGAGTTTGGACTTTGGAAAACGATGGTGGGACGCGCAGCACGAAAAGGCAATTGTCCATTTTAGTTTTGAGGCAGTAGGTCCTTGAAAAACACAGTCCTTTACATGGAGAAGTGAAGCATGCAATTGTCTTTTATTAATATTGAGTAGCAAAAATAAGAATACTAACAAAACAAACAAGCTCAGTTGTAAGGAACTATACCACTTAATTTAATTTATTACAAGAATTGAAAGTTTGGAGTGTAGACAAGGACGCCGAGGTTTCCTTAGTGCTTTGGTGCCTTTATGTAAGCCACATGAGTAGAGTTTTCAACCTTGGTGAGGGTTTGGAGATCATAAGCAATCCAACACTTGGATGTCTCCTTGTTGTAAAAATAACCCATACACTTGCAATCACTTGAGCATTTCTTTCCACAATCGTCCTCCTTCATTGGTCCGCTTCCGCTTGTATACTTGCTCATGGAATGATCAACACCTTCTAGTTTATAGTAGTAAAAATTCTTGGAACCGCAGGCAGGTGGCTTCACGGGTTCACAATCTTTGCTCCAGCCCATGAGTCCACTTGGCAATGGGCAAGCAACACATTGACTATCTTCACATAGCCCAAACTTACCACATCTCTCCGGTAACTGGCACTCACTCTCCTGAAAAGCATCTCGAGAGAAGAGACTGAACGTCACTTCCCATGCTTGATAGTCCACTTTATTGTTGTAAGTGTAGATCCTAAGATCCCCGTCTATTCCAATTCTAAGAAACGACAGCGTGCTGTTGTATTTGGGTCTACTTAATATATATGAATTCTCAGTAGACAAATCAAAAGTCAGATCATTAGCCATATCGTCATAGCTATTTGGGGTACAATTTAGAGTCGCATACTGTAGACGGCCTTTGTATACTGAATCGAATGCGTAGTAGAGATATGGCTTAGGAGAATTTGGACTCCTATAGTACATGGCGAGTCTTTTAGGTTCCATGACCAGGCTATAGGCCCCATCAGAGTTGTCCGTCTCAGAAGCTCGGCTCACAAGCCTAGTTACACCTCCAACACGAAGAGATTGACCCACCAACAGGCTATCCGTAGGAGAGTCGAAACTTTGCCAGATAAAGTTCCCCTTTGAATCATGAAGCACCATGTTACCATTAGGTAGCAATTGTAAGCCAACAACACCTTTGTTGGCAGTGTTGGTTTGCCAAGCAACCCTGCCATCAGCATCAGCTAAGACAAGGTTTCCATCCTTCCCAAGGGTGAAAGTGGCATTTTCACGAACTGGGTTGCCTCGGTTGGCTTCCCAAACCCAACGCATTGTTGATTCTGACCTCACAGTACCCATACGTAGAGCAAGAGTGTATGCATTAGGGGTGGTGTTATAGAAGATAAGTTGGAAAGGAGTACTACTTATGGGCAGGGGACGATAATCTGGAACATACTCCGAAATGTATTCCCCAAACTCTCCTTCATTCACATACTTAAATGTTGAAGAAGGAGGAACAGTAGCAGTAGCATGGGCAATGAAGGATATTGAGAAGAGAAAACAGAGAGAGAACAATGACAGTTCCATGGGAGAGGAAGACAGTAACTAATTCTGCTAGCTTGCTAGATTTAGCTGGCTCTGACAAGAAACCAGGATAGAGACTGGTGCCTCTTATAAGCTGCCGAGGATGGCATTTTTGTAATTCGAAGCCCACTGTTTTAGATAGCAAAATGAAAGATAAAGTTCCATTTTGGTGGGCTCTTTGCTCTTCAAGAAAAGAGACAGAGTGGAAAGCAATAGGGAAGATGATGTGATGTTTCCAATCATTTTCTATTTTAATCTATAATAATGGGTGGCGGCTGCTATGTGTTCTTCGTCTTTTGGTAATTTTGTTTTCCTTTTAATTAGTAGCGATGCCTTTGGAAAATTTTACCGAAGTACTCGTGTTCTCTACATATTGATTTATATGATACCATGTCTAAGATTGGACGCTAATTTAGGATTCAGTGGTAAACTTAAAACCGTTAATCCAGCTAGTTCGCCTAGTTCTTCGTTTGGCAGGTCAAAAAGTCTTGATCAGCATGAAATTAAGTTAGGGAAACTTGATTTATGCAAATAATAAAAGTATCTCGCACTATGACTTTAACTTTGAAAAATAAATCAGAAATAGAATAAATTATAAATTAGTTTTAAGAAAAATAATTAATTAGTCTTTGTGTCTTAAATTTTTTTATAACTTAATTATTTTTTAATTTTATTTTCATTTAAAAATGAAAAAAATATGAAAAGATGGATGAAAAGTATGATATTTTTAAAATAAAATAATATTAAATTAAATATAATCAATATTAATAAAAAAATAAATAATAATTATTAAAAGAATGAGAATTAATAATTTGTTTTCAGAAAATATGGACTAATGTATACTTTACTCATCAGAAATGGGTAACCAAAGTCGCCGCTTCACCTTTGGTCAAACGGTACCTTCCGGTCTAATACTGATGTCTTGAAACAATCCGAGTGCTGCCAATGAACATGTGGCTTCTTAGTTGGCACCCATATTGCCAATAATGAATAAAAATAAATAGTAAGAAGAAAGAGATAATGGCAGCTTTTACAATCCTGTAAGTCCCTCTACTTCCACGAAATAATTAACGGAGTCCCTCTATGATAACAAGAGTTAATTGAGTACCTCTATATAAAAAATTTCAAAATTTTGTTTAGTGTGAACTAGTTTTTTTGCCCGTACTACACTCGAGTTGGATAAAATATATAAAATCCTTTAGAAAAATATATAAAATCAAAGATGTAAAAAATTATTTAATAAAAAATTTTGTATTTAACTATTTCTTGTTTGTGTTTTTTCATAATTTTTTCTTTAGAAAAAAGGATGTATCTTAATTAATTCATGGATTATTAACTAAAAAAAATTAAATAGATTTTTTTTAAAAAAAGCTTTAGTATTTCATAAGATTGTGTTGAAAAACATAAATAACAATTATTAAAAGCTTACATAGAATTGAACAACTAATTTTTTTATTTCATGTTGATGAGAATATCAGTTTTTGAACAAAATGTGAATTTAATTTTTTATATATTTATTTACAAAATAATGAATAATATTAAAATAAAAAACTATATTAATTTGAATCATTGAGTGGTTAAGTCAAAACATTATTTTAATTATTTAATTCAAAAATAAATAAATAAATACTAAATGCATAGTGTAGAAAAATAATATTATTATAATATGATCATAATATTAATAACATATGACTATATTAAAAAAATGATAAATTAAAATAATAAATTTTAAATAATAAAAATAATTAAAAGAAAACATTAAAATAAAAATGGGACCAAATCATAATATAATTAAAGTTTGAAATTAAAAAAAAAGTATAAAAAAATTGAGGATCAAAGTGCTAAAAAAATGACATGAATAATAAAAGGAATAGTAATTTGTGAGTGTGTGAATAGTGTTTCAAATAATAAAAACGAATGATAAAATCATCTTTTATTTTATTTTTTTAGTAATAGTTGTCCATTCGCGACAATGTCAAGAGTGAACGATGATTAAGCTAATTTGATATGAGTGTCTCCTAGCACTTGCCCGAATATTTTATAGCTTTGACTTTCAAAATATTCAACCTATCTATCTTACTTTATTGTTATTTATTTATTTATTTTATCTTCTTTTGGGTTTGAATTATTAATTGTCTGGATATTTTTAATATTCGGACTTTGGCTAATTTAATTACTGCTTATTAATTATGAATTCCTTATTTTAGGAGAGTTGGTCGAACAAGCCTTGGTTGGATTATGGTTAAGATTCTTATGTGTTAAGAAACTATATTTATTTAGAAATTCTTATTTTATATGGAGTCGTAATTATTTTAAGATTCCAAGCACAAAATGCATTCTTATTTAATATTGACTAACTTAATTAAAGTTTTTATTGAATTTAGATTACATTAAGTCCAATTAGATTTAGGAAATATTTTTCTTTATTGTTAAATTCGGCATGAGCTAGCTTTTATAGTCTAATTGGATAAGTTTTTCTACCCTAGCTGAATTTTCAATCCAGTATTTAAGCAAACTTTACGTTTTATTATAGGGTTCAAACTTTTGCTATTGAAATCAAATAAACATTTGTGTGAGATTTTTCTCTATAAAACATGCATTCCTTACATACTATGAGACATGCTTTTCGTATCCTTAGCATGATTAACTAAGGTGGTGCTTTGATCATTTGCAACAATTCTTTAAGGTGTGTATCTTATCCTTAGGGTTTTGGCATACGTATCTCATGTAAGTGCAAACATTCTACATAGTTAGGTCTAAGATTATGCCTTTATTTTATTGTATTTTTAGACTTGTGTCTATCATTATAATGATATATTACAAGTCTTGAATTGTTAGTTTGAAGAATTAGAGTTTTTGGATTGCCTTTGCCTTTGTTTATGAGTTTCGTCCAAGATCAAATAAAAGGGTAGGAGTTTCGGTTTGCTCTAAATTTTTGACCAATTGTTCTACTAGACCTAAATAAAGTTTAATAAGAATTTCAAAATTAATAGACAATAGAAGGTAGGGTTTCAGCATGCTCTAATATTTTGGGATTTTTTGTGTTGTTGTTTGTGGGTTGTTTTTGGCTTGAGTTACTTTATGGATTGAATTTTTTTTTGCTCAAGTTTTATTTATGAATCGATTTTGTGTGTGAATGAGCATTGTTGCTTGTCGAATTATTGCTTGTAAATTTTAGTTTGATAATTGTATTTGATTATATTTTGTAAATTGGTTTCATCTCGCATTTAACCAACATCGGTTTGGTATCGGAGCCGATGTTAGCTTTCATTTGTTCATAGGTCATTGTGAAGATGCCTCGACAAAACCACAAGTGAATTAGATGACCATGTTAGACATATAAAAGGAGATAAGTGCTTATAAGAAGAGAATGAAGAACTCGTAAGATAAGTCATGAGGTCAAAGTTGATCGAGAGTTAGATGAACGATAAGAGTCCATAGGTGGAGAGGTTAAAGAAGAGGGAAACCAAAAAGAAAATCCCTTCCACCATTTATCCATCGAATCTTCGAGAAGGTTTTGGCTTAGCAAGCTAAACTATGAAGAAGATAGTCATAGTAAGAGAACTATGGTGTTAAGCTAGAGATTTTTAAGTTTGATAGAAAGCTTAACTTAGATAATTTCATAGAGTGGCTAAATATAATTAAAAGGTGTTGGACTTATAAAAAGTACTTGAAGACAAAAAAGTCAAACTTGTCGCCATTAAGCTCACCAAGAATGATACTTTATGGTGGAAAAAAATTTAAAGAAACGAGAGATTAGTAAGAGAAAGGAAAGATCGCCATGTGAGATAAAATGAAGAAGGTTATGAAGAAGAAGTATTTTTCTAACTATCATAGATAAGACATCTTCATTCGATTCCACGATATCAAACAAATAACCTAAGCATTAAGGTCTACTATCGAGTTTGAATAACTCTTGTTGAGATGCGAGATTAATGAGTTAGAAGAATATACTATTGCAAGGTTCTTAAAGGGTATGAAACCCGAGATAGCTAGTGTGGCGTAATTACAATAGTATCATACCTTACAATATGTGTCAAGTTGATCGTAAAAGTGTAATGACACAAGAAGGCTTTAAGGTGGGACAACAAGACTTTGGCTAAAGAGCCAAATCCTAGTTCGGGGGTCTCGACTAGGACTACAATGCCAAACCTTAGAGTGGTTTGGACACAAAGAGAAGGATCTTTAAGTTGCACCAACAAACCAAAAGCCACGGACCGAATACTAATCTTTATAAGTGCTTCAAGTGTTCGAAGTAGGCCACATTGCTTCGAGTGTCCAAAATGAAGGATCATCACTTTGATAGAGGAAGTCGAATATGAAAACGAGGAGGTAGAAGAGCAAGTCGAATTGAATGACATCAAAGACGTAATACATGTTGTCGAAGGTAAGGGAGAGATTGATACTAATAAAGGTAAGATGTTGACGATGCACAAGACTTGGGATAGTGAGTTTGCTACTACTTGGACATTTAAAAGATTTTCAAAAAATTCTCATTAAAAATTGTTTATTTTTATTATTTTGTTTATTTACCGGGGATATGAGTTAAATCATGTTTTGGAGTCGTCACCTAGTATTAAAGGAAATAAAAAATCTAAAAATGATACTAGTTCGGAGATCTTAGGATAAGAAGTTGATTATGCTCTTGAAAAAAATTAATCACCCAAAGACATACTTTTCGAGAAAAGATATTACTTCTAGTCTAATCCTAAAAGTTTATCTCCTAAAAATTCAATTTTTACCAAATTATATCTAAGTCAACTTCTAAGTTTATTAACTACATCAAATTAATTTTTTAATTTTTGTTTATGACATCATATTGAATCGATTGTCGGATCCCGTTATTAGGAGTCTCGTCAATTCAATATCGGATCTAATTTAAGTCTCAATATAACTGATATGTCGGAGAACGACCTAATTATTAATGATAATTGTTTTGATTTAATTAGTAACATCTCGTTTCTATTATATAGGAGACTTATTAAAATTCTCTCTTGCTCTCT